TCTCTCTCTCTCTCTCTCTCTCTCTCTCTCTCTCTCTCTCTCTCTCTCTCTCTCTCTCTCTCTCTCTCTCTTATCTGTGCATGTGCGTCATTGGCGAAGGAACGAACGTCGGAAAGACGGTCATGCTCCCTTCTCAAATGGCGAGCACAAAGTTTGGAGAGGATGACATTGGTCTGTGGATTGTATTAAAAAAAAATTACTAATGCCATTATATATCGTTCAATAAGTTTTCTTACAAGTTTTTTTGCACAATCGGTATGACGACATGCATGAATGACAGATGGAGATGAGTCATGAACAATGCACATGCGCAATGGAGATGGTCCTTAAGTATGCAAAGGAAGGCATTGACTACATAACTGAAACATAGTTCGACGAATTGCGAACTTGCATACCATCATATTTCGATGTGCGCATTGATCGCGATATGACATTGGCACAACATGCTCATGACATCTCTCATGCGCTTGTTTTTTTGAAGAAACTAATCAATGAGAATTTGAAAACTGAGGTTGTTCGAACAGACTTGGAGGAGAACATTGTATGTTACAAGTTTGATGACCTGGTCGATTGGTTGTACGAGCAGGTCGAAATAGAAAAGTCGAAATCACGGACGTCGGGAGTGTATGATAAACGCACTTGGAAGGGGGATATGAAAAGAAAAGCGTTAGCTCATGGATATTTTATACCTGGTCGTCGTGATGTTCTGAGACCCGGATTAGAAAAGTTGCTTGCTCTTCTACACTTGCGAAGTGTTGTAGAGAAAAAGGACGTGCAATCTGTGTGCGAGTTGCCACGTGTGATTGCAAATGGTGGTGAGTACGTGATGCTGTCGCAGTGGACAAATTTGTGTCCATCATCCAGTCGTGCCCACATGTCTTTTAGTTATTTGGCTAGTATTGTTGAGATATTAGAAGGAGCCGAAAAGTTGTTGGAATACAATGCGATTGAATCTTCAGAGTTATAGTCTATAGCGGACAAGGCTATTGTGAAGTCCTTGGAGGCTCTTGCAAACACTGGATCGAATGAAGTACCACACATTGTAAGAGAGTGTTGGGATGTTATGGCTACAGAATGCAGTGCAAGGGATGAAACATTGAAGTTGACGTCCAACGAAGGACCAGGCAACACGGTCGTGGTAAACAGCAGAAGGACAACCCCTCTAACATATATGGATTTTGCTTTGGATTACAAATATCAAGGTCCAAAGGCAATGGGATTTGGTGAAAGTGAGGATGAGGGAGAGAGTTGTGATGATGAAATGGACGACGATGACGATAACGATAGCCTACGAAAATTTTGGGACAATCACGCGGACGGTTCATGTGATCCGCAAAAAGGATTGTGTCTCGCTGTTCTCCGTCTCGCGTTGACATTTAAAGAATGTCCTTCAATAATTTTGATTTGTTGTACGGACATCACAACAGACGGACACTAATAGTATGATTTTTTGTCGAGACTTTCTTATTTGCATCCAAAAGGCAAAGATAATTCGAAAGGTGGAAAAAATTGGCAAGTGTTAGTCAGTAGAGAAATGGCGATAGCCGCATTAGAGAGTTTCGACGGCGTGGCAAGTTTTCTCACAAAGGTAGTGATAGATCTTTCTCATGGTCAGAAAGAGAGAACGAAGAGTGATGACATCGTCTCGTGGATGCAGATTACGAATCCTGTGGCGAGGGAAGGTTTGGCGGGCCAGGAAAAAGAGAGTGGCGGACCTGTGAAGGGTAAGAGAAAGGCAAATAGTGCTTGCGAGGAGGATTGAAGCGACCATTCTTCCGTTGAAAGTTTTTTATTTTTAAGTAGGGTTGTGTTTCATATATAATCCAATTTATGAACGACTTGTTTATGGTTTTTCAATTTGGAAATAGAAGTATTTTCATGCAAATTCAAAAACATTTTTTATGAATGAATTGCTTAAAAAATATTGTGAATGCGTCCTCTTGTCTTAGTTGTGAAGAATAAATGATCGTCGTTCATGAATAAAGTAAACAATTAATATGTGACGGTCAATTTCATGTTTGTTGCATCAACGATGCATTTGTATTACAAGAAGATAACCGTGGCGTATTCTTGACCATATGATACATAAATGTCGAGGCACAACAGGAATGTTGTCCTGTGCTACGATTGCGGCCGCATATTCAGTCGTACGAGCTTAATGAAGTCGCACAGATCGAGGGGGTGCTTAGCTGAGATACAATGTACAAGAACTACTGGTGATGCTAACGACATGAGTTCAGAGAACGAACAAAATGATAATAGCGCAAATATGGACATACACGAGAATGTCGAACCAATCATTGATGATATTGCAGAAAAGGCAAACAACATAGACGAAAATGAATATCCATCGGATTATCGACTCGTTGCAGTGATATGTTCTGCGAGAGGAGGGTTGGGATTGTGAGATGCAGATGTGAATGCCTTGCTCTCCGTTATATGTCACCCTTCTTTCGATGCTAGTCGGCTACCATATAGAAATTCTCGTACGTTGAAGGGTTGGTTACGCGGAAAGCATGCAGACAAATCTTGGGGGCACATTGATATGACGACAGATAATTGGCCGGCAGAAGCGAAGGCTGGACTTTGGGTGAGAAAATGGGATGTAGCATTTGGGACTGTGATTCGAGACGCACTGATGAACGACACTAACTATACGCTAGAGGCACACTCAACATGTCATGAAGAAAACATGGTGTTCACGAATGCGAAATCGGCACTGTTTTGGAAACAAGCACAAGACATAGTTCGAAATGACAAAGGATTACATCGAAATGAACGCGTAAGATATGTTCTGCCATTTATTTTGTATTCCGACAAAACGAATGTAGATGGTTGCATGAAAACAAGCATATATCCTCTGATGTTGTCACTCGCTGATAAGCCAGAACGAGCAACTTTGCTCGCATACTTGCCAATTCTTCAGACTTTGCAGTACACACGAGGTTGGACCCATAGTTCATCTGCATTTGTTCGCCGCAAAAGGTGTGTATTCCATGAGAGTCTAACTATTGTATTAAAGGATGCAAAAAATGTCTCTCATGACGGTATGAAACTTAACCTCCCGCGATACGGGGAAGTTACAGTACATCCGTTGTTGTTGAACTATGTGCAACATCATCTAGAGAGATGTCTTTTGGCACTTGTAAAGAACGACAGATGTCCAAATTGCATTGTACCGAGCGAGAACTTACACGAACATATGGATTGCAACACGATTGTACGGACTGAAAACGTGGATCGCAATATATTGCAGGGAGTACATGATGGTTCTGATGCTGACGCTCGTGCAGCAGCGATGAAGAGAGCGCTGGACTGGGGGATGCATAGTGACAATGTAATGAATGGTTTGTGGGGTTTTTATCAAGGTCGTTGCGATGCCATTCTAATGTTAGATTACCATTACGCACTGCAACCAGACCGAATGCACACAGTAGATCACGGTATTTTTGAATACATTGTTGAAGCCTTAAAGAATATATGCAAATCATTTCAGAACACCGTTGGAATGCTTGGAGAGCTGGATGCTCGTTTAAAGTGTATAAGCAATCGAGGGAATGTCACTTTTCAAAAACTTATATTGCCGGTAACAACGGGGGTAGACTATTTTACACGAGAGGGACGATTTGAAGCTAAGCAAAATCGTGTCGTGATGACTGTCTTGTTGTTCATTGTGCACAACTTCCTGGACAATGTAGAGGGACATGACTTTGTGAAGTGGTGTGACATGTTTCTCGAAGACTACATAAGCATGTTTCGCGTTGTTAAACACACGAAGCATTCCTTAGATAGATGTGGCGCTCTACTCGAAGACTTTATGACTTATACAAATATGCGTTTCAGACATCTGCAGAAGTCAACTTGGAATATAGTAAAAATGCATGATTTGAATAAATTCAGAATGGCTGTAGAACAATCAGGGCTCCCGAACACTTTTGCAGCAGACATTTGGGAACACAATCACACTCGTTTTTGCAAAGATCCTTCTAAAGCATTAAATCGAAGAGATCCTTTAAAGCAAATGGTGGACCACGTTGTACGAGCAGATATTTTAGAAGAACACGTATTCGTTGTGAGAAGGAAGAGAAACAGAGAGGAAGAAAATTGGTCAACGGTTTTGGAGGCAGAGAGAACAGGTCGTAATGTAATTGCCACAACCGACATGGCCGTATTGAGATTGGGGTGGTTTCTTCTTAGCGATGACGATATTCTTCGTCGCATAAGGCCAACGTCACCAGAAGCTGCTCGCTTACTGCTAAACCTTCCACAACGACTTCAATTTCAACAATGTGTGCGTTCATACGTGACGGAGCAAAACCTCGGTGAAGTTCACGACCACACTGTCATACGTCCTCGACCACATGTCGCACTTGCTTGCACACACAATGACTTTATTCAAGGAGCAGATGCACGAATCGCTAGAGCGACAAACTCGTTTCATGGTCGTGAGGTATGGAGTGATGTGAGTGTAAGGGGTCTCGATAACGACATTTGGTACGCTTCTGTGGGAATATTTGTTGTGCTTCAAACCACAAAAGGAGGACAAATGCTCAAGACGGAATGTGCATTTGTTCAATGGTACAAAGACTGCACGAGGAACTTCACAAATCGAACGTCATGTAAATTGGTGGAATGCGAGAGGAACAGAGGCGTGCAAATGAGTAGCATCATCGATAGAGACACAATAATTCAATCAGAACATCTTGTACCATACTTCAAGCGAGCGGCGTTTAGTCATGATGTAGACCGAGCAACGATAGAAGAAGTTTTTTTTTTCGTCAACCGGTTCACAATTATTCTATAACACTGTCTCCAAGTCTTCTTCTGCTGGCTTATACATTTTTATTATAAAATGCATCCTATTCTGCAGGTGTAACTATTGTACGATAATAGCGTCGTTGCCTGAACGAGGTACAAATAGCGAAAGAAATGAGGAGGGAGCAGAAAAATTTCTACACAAGACACCGTGGCGAAGGATAAGGGTAACCAGTTAACCGAAAACTGGAGATGGTGCAAGTGAACCGCAAACATGCAAAAGTAATGGGAACAATCCGGGAGAAAATAAAGGAGTTGCACAATCGAGAACGTGGAAAGGGAAAGGAGGCAGAATGACTCGCAAGCAAGGAATGTCAAAAAACAAAGTTCAAGGCTGTGTAGAGAAAGCATCGACGTTGAGAACTCAGGAATCGAAACGTGTCAGGAATTTCACGGCAGCCAAGAAGATGATACCGAAGTTTAAGAAGACATTGACAGACGAGACAATACAAAGGATGTATCACAGACCTTTGCTGTCATTATCAGTAACTGCCTGGAATCTCATACCGTTGCCTATTGCTACCATTTCTCATTCACCAAGAAAACACAATCGAGRRATKTTAGAAAGTGACAKTGAGAAAGAGACATTGCGAGATATGCGGCATGAAAAAAGATTAGCAACAGACGATAAACAATTGGAGAGATTGAGAGAGAAAGTGAAAGGGACAGAAGAGAGAGAGGGATGGGCGTCGAGGAAAGAAGTTATTGAAGAGGTCAATGTAGGAAAAGATGCCACGAAGTCTGTATTCTCACACATCTGCAAGAACACAAATCAAAATAATACAAACGACGGAAGAGTGTCTGTAACACGTGAAGACCTCACTAGCACAGAGAAGTTCATGCACACAGTCAGAAAAGATGCAACACAGAATGATGAAGCAGTGCCGAGGTTAGAGTCATCTGCAATTGATAAGATCGGAGGAGACTGTGAAGTGAGAGTCAGCACAACAAGTCAACATATGATAACAGAAGAGCGAAATAAGGCAAAGACGAACCTCGATAGAGTGGAAACAAATGAACAGATGACGTTGTTGGCTTCGAATCTTCTGGGAGTCTCAACTGACATTGCTGTAGATGACAAGTCAACAGTTGAGAACATGGAGATATTGTCAGAACACGAAGGAAAGACATCAGAGGGAAGTAACCCAGAGAGGCCGCAAGAGTTTAAAGGTCATATGATAACAGAAGAGCGAAATGAGGCAAAGACGAACCTCGATGGAGTGCAAACAAATGAACAGCCGACGTTGATGGGGGAATGTGAACTGCGTACGAGAATTGAAGTCGACCAGGGTGAGACAGATTGTGCAAGACTTGCTTTACAACCGACTTCGAATCTTCTGGGAGGCTCGGATGATATTGCTATGGAGGACAAGACAACAGTTGAGAAAATGGAGATATTGCCAGAACACGAAGGAAAGACATCAGGGGGAAGTAACCCAGAGAGGCCGCAAGAGAAGGATGAAGGAACCGGAGTTGTAGTGTATTTGGATGCAGACACAGAGGAGGGCGAGGAAACACAATCTATGGACCAGAAGTTGGTGACAGCAACTGTTGATATAGTTCACGAATTTTTTTCATTCACATGGAACCCCCTGAACAATGAATCATTCACATTGAGAGTACAAGATCTCCAATGTCTGGGAGCGGGCAAGTGGTTGACGACAAATATCGTTGACTTTTACTGTCATTGCGTATATGACTCACTCACACGTAAGGCTGTTGATCTCTCATACGTTAAATTGTTGCCTGCTCTATGGTACACCGGAATCAAGGGGCTCCACAAGGACGCGAGTTTAAGCAGCCCTACTGATCTGGAGACGGTAACACGAAGTTCAAAGTCGAAGGCGAAAAGCATGAGGAGTTTGTGGGAAAATCAAGTAGTTATTGTTCCTCTGCTATGCAATAACCATTTTACTATTCTCGTGTTGAATAACATAGGACGCATGCTACAACATCCACATCTCGACCAACCAAGAGGCTGCGCCATTTTCCACCTAAACTCCAAAAAACGATTGGGCAATCCTTCGTTTGAACCTTTGTTAGCCTATTTCTCTTACGAGCACATGGCGTTACGGTATTCAGCTGATGTTGAAGTTACGACCGCGACCATTGAATCGACATGGAAAACATTGATGCAAGGTGTATCTTTCATCGACGAGATTGATTGCCAGCAACAACGGAACTCAAACGACTGCGGTGTATTCGCCACGAGGAATGTTGAGAGCATTATTATGTGCATCGCAAACGACGAAGACTTCGAGTTCCCGAAAGATACAATGACGAAGGCTTGCGAACGTTTGTCGTCAAGAAAGCCTTGTGAGCAACGACACATAATGACCAAGGCTTTGGCGGAGTCATACCCCGCAGCATGCGGAACACAGACAACAAATGACACGTACATTATTTTCAAGAAGTTTGCATCAAGCAGGAGGAAGGCATCGACAAAATGATGAAGCACGCACAGGAAGAGGTGAGCTAAGATATGGACGTGCGGCGACTCGTAAATTTCGTTAGTTGAAATATAGAACAAGTACGCAAATGATGATGAAGACAAGACATGGTAGGTGAAATTTTTAACATAAGCCAACAAATTTATCATTGCATATGTAATGTGAAAATACGTGTTTTTTGTTCACGAAAAGCAGGGTCGAGATAAAGCCCCGCTGCTGAGATGAAATTTCACTAATGACAAATTTTTCATGTCCTATGTTACGTGTCTTCTTCCTCTTCACAGAATCGGTGAGCGATATAGACGAAGTACTTGCCAGCAATGGACAAGCACACATTACGGCCTCGCCGAGGGCCTGATGTTACAGGGACATCGGCGCAACGAAGGCTCTGCGTTCGCGAAGAAGGGGTGTCACGACAGCAGACGAATGTCGATGCATATCTCGTACAGGAACGAAATAAAGTTCGAGATATAACACGACATGGAACATCTGAAGAAGTGAAGAGTGTACGAACAAGAACGGAGCGTTGGAGGAGAAATTTGGTCGAAATGCACCGCGAAGCGAGCAAACGAAAATTGCAGATGGAAAAAACAGAGAAGCGAGATAACGATATTGACATCCGACGCAGGGAAGAGTCTTCGAAGTGTACTCCGAAGTCGAAGACAGTAGGCAGGAAAACGCTGGCCGGAGCAACCCCTCTTGCTCCAAGTAAGTATGTCATGGAAAAGAAACGGGAGCACAACAAGGGTGAAGCGACTGTTGTGGACAGTGCAGAAGTAGGAGGAAGCGGTGAGGATATCAAGAACAGCATGCGTTGTGGTCGGCAGGCGGGCGAGAGCAGTGGAGGTAAACACATTAGAGGTCGCGACATTCAGCACAGGCAATGGCATTTGGAACGAGAATGTCGACAACCATCATTGACAGAGTGCGAAGACGAGCAGCTGGAGCAAAAAGAAGCAAATACGGAAGAGGATAATTCAGAGGACGAGAACAATAGAAACAACGACGATTTTGGTGAACGTAAATCGAATGAAGACGAGGATGATAATAATGAAGACGGTCGTGAAGAGGATGACGAGTACGACGCACACTTCACAAACGAGAAAGCAATAGGTAAAACATTGTGTGAAATCCTGTAAAGTTGTTTGTGGCATTAAAAAAATGTGGAAGAAAAAAACAACAACATTGAAAACGATTCTCTTGTTTGCATTCTCGCTTATGATTTGCACGTGCTTAATGAACATATAAAAGTGACCAGCAAAATAATTGTATTTTTCGTTTTTTTGTTTTGTTCTATCTCTGTGTGCTCATCCTCTGTATTTGTGCAGTTATGCGAGGACGCGAAAAACGGGATGCGTCAGAGAAAAGCAAGCTGAACAACCACATTAGTGACAACATCCACACGTTATACGCGCACTCCAAAATAGTGAAGTAATTGATGCGTTGCGTAGTGAAGGGTTTTTGTTTATCTCGAGTCAAGGATGCAGAGATGTATCCGTCAGTCGACACGTATCTCGAATCCTTCAGGCGTCTCACCGAATCTCTGGACCTGGACACACGATTCATCGTAGATCAGTCGATGAAGAGCACAACACCGACAACACTTCGCACACTCGGATCAAGGGAGCTGTCGAACATCAGAGGAGAGATCGCTTACGACATTGTCCGGACTTTTTGAAGCGCTGCGGGGCTGTCTTATCCATGCGGAACTGTAAGAGATCATTTTGAAAAGGAACGACAGAAGATGAGGACGAAAATGCTCGAACAATCATCGTGGAGAGTGAAAGGCGAAGAGCCGTGGGGCGCAACAGAGTTTAAGAATGCCGTGCGAGACGTTTTATACAGAGATTGGAATGAAGCAGGTCGAAATGGTTGCACTCTCCAACAACTCGCATTCGCTCATATGGTGTTAGAGTGTCACATCAGCAACAAAAGTCGACGCGCACGCACGGCAGCAACGAGCAAGGAAATGCGAAGAATAGAAGAAACCATCATGTCAACTTGTAAGACCGTTATCGGAAAAGTGACTATAAATGTTATCTCTCTCGATCGTGATAAAACCGTAGTGCAGAGTTCAAGGAATATATGGGAACGACATTTTGCTTGCAGAAAGAATGCAAGAGATGAGGTCGTTCAAATGAAGAATGATCATAGATTTTTCGAATTTTTTGCAGATAGTGACAAGATGATTGCTGAGGAGAGGTCTTAGGACGTTTGTGATATTAGTATTTTGTCATTTCCGTATAATACTTTGATTTCGCATACAGCAAGGTGGTGGTGAAGACGTCGTGAGAGTTGAATATGATATTGAGGACTATTGATTGATTGATTGAGAGACAGAGAGAGAGAGAGAGAGAGAGAGAGAGAGAGAGAGAGAGAGAGAGAGAGAGAGAGAGATGTTATGACGTCTGTGACATTTGTAATTTGTACGTTTTGTACAGTACTTGGACTTCGTGGACAGCGAGATAAATGTCGAAAGGTCATTCCAGTTGAATATGATATCGTCAACTATTTAGACTCGGAGAGAGAGAGAGAGAGGTATGTAGAAAGAGGCAGGAAACAAACAAAGGAGACATAATCGGTGTGATGTGTGTTTGGTACCACGACATGATTTTGCAGACATGTGTTACAGGTGTGTTGTGTATTGCTAAGCTAGTTGGGGTGAATGAACAACAAAGTGGACAAAACACATTCGTGGTCATGTTTAAAGTGCCTCAGTGTGGATTGAATGTAACAGGTACAATGAGAAGTGTGTGTCGGATTTCTATTTTGCCAAAGAAAATATTGATAATTGGGATATTTGCAACGGTTAAGAGGTTTTCACGACCAAAAAAAATACATAACCCTATAGACACCAATTCCTCTTATGATATAACGAAACATAGATATTATGAAACATACACATAGGCAGAGAGAGAGAGAGAGAGAGAGAGAGAGAGAGAGAGAGAGAGAGAGAGAGAGAGAGAGAGAGAGANTGCCTCAGTGTGGATTGAATGTAACAGGTACAATGAGAAGTGTGTGTCGGATTTCTATTTTGCCAAAGAAAATATTGATAATTGCCAAAGAAAATATTGATAATTGGGATATTTGCAACGGTTAAGAGGTTTTCACGATAGACACCAATTCCTATTATGATAGACACAAACATAGATAATGAGATAAAGAAACATAGATAGAAAGAAACATACACATAGGCAGAGAGAGAGAGAGAGAGAGAGAGAGAGAGAGAGAGAGAGAGAGAGAGAGAGAGAGAGAGAGAGAGAGAGAGAGAGAAAGAGAGAGAGAAGCAACGATAAGTGTCGCGACGGATCTATATTAATTGTCACACTGAGAGTTCCAACTATTTTTAAACGATATATTTTTTTTTTCACTACGATATCTTAATGTTGCTCAGACATTGCAATGAGTTAGGCAACTAATTATCAAACGTGTGCGCATACCAGGGATACAGTATAACCACAAACGACTTAATAGCGGATCGAACGTTGGAAAATGTTTGTCATATTGATTTGAAAGTCCGCAGCGAAGTGATGAACGTTTCTTGTGTTGAAGTAATGTTGAAGACATGTCTGTTTATCGGTCAAGGTTAAAAATCGCTGTGTGTTAGAGAACTATTGTTACTCGATACAGTCAACTAATTTTCAACACAAGGATGTATAAAAACATAACTGGGAAGACCGGGATTTTTCTCTGTTGTTCTTTATGGTGAACGTGACGGATTTCTTACTTTGTGATCAACCCTGTCCCGACGCCGAGCTCATCCCTCTGGAGCCAGATCCTCCTTCTATCTCCATGGCTCCCGTCTCTACTTCCCACCCTCCGGCGTCCGTCGAGTCCACCCCGCCGTCGCCCGCTGACGCTGACGCTGAGGAACTCGCAAGCTATACGGCCGACCTGGAGCCCGCAGTTCGTGACCTCATCCAAGAGTACCACGACGTTTTCCCATCGTCGTTCTCGTACGCCGGCATCCCACCGATGCGTGACGTCGAGCACTCCATTCAGCTYGTGCCTGACTATCGTGTTCACCACCAGGCTCCCTACAGACTCTCGATCCCCGAGGTCACCAAACTCAAGCGTCAGCTTGAGGAGCTTCTGAGACTGGGTTTCATTAAACCCAGCAACTCCCTGTGGGGTGCACCCGTCCTCTTTGCTCGCAAAGCGGATGAAACTCTTCGTCTCTACATCGACTACCGTGGTCTCAACCGCTACACGATTATGAACAACTACCCCATGCCTCGTTCCGATAAGTTGTTCGACTGCCTCGCAGGCAACCTCTTCTTTACGAAGATTGATCTTCGTAGCGGTTACCATCAGATCCGCGTCGCTGCAGCCGACCAACCGAAGACCGCGTTTCAATCACCCTTCGGCCACTACAAGTTTACGGTGATGCCATTTGGCCTCACCAACGCACCCGCTTCCTTTCAGAGGGCGATGAACGACATCTTCCGGGACATCCTGGAGAAGTACGTTCTCGTCTATCTCGATGATATCCTGGTCTACAGCCGTACCCTTGAGGAGCACCTCAGACACCTCCACGACGTCCTTGACCGCTTGCGCAGACATGGCTTCTATGCCAAGCTGAGCAAGTGCCGCTTTGCCCTGCACAAAGTGGATTTTTTAGGACACTATGTGTCTGACAAGGGTCATCACATGGACGACGCGAAGATCACTGCTATTGCGGAGTGGCCCGTCCCCACATCCGCCAAGCAACTTCGCAGCTTCCTAGGCCTGACCAGCTATTATAGTAATTTCATCCAGGGATGTGCTAGGTATTCCTACGTCCTTATCTCCACCCTCCTCCGGAAGAACCCACCCTGGGCTTGGACACCCCTCCACGAGGACGCCTTCCGCGCTCTCAAGAAGGCGGTGACATGCGCACCGATTCTTCAACTAACCGATTTTGACCGCCCTTTATCTGTGTGTCTAAAATCTGATTCAACGGGGGTTTGGAGTTGAACGGTTCAACTCTCGGTGAACCCCATTTCAACTCCGCGTTATACCCCGTTACAACGTGGTACAACTCGGCCTGCGGAATCTATTTTCGCCGTTAAAAAATAATTTAAATATATATATATATGGGGGTGTAGATTTTTTTCCTCTCTACATCCCCATATTTTTTATTTGTATTTTTTAAGCATTTAAATTATTAAAAAAAAATCAAAAACAAAACCAGACTCAAAACACATAGATTTTTTTTTTTTTTTTTTTTTGATTG